ATTCCTTTAGTTAAGATACATTCTTAACTAAAGGAAAAATGTGTCTATCTGACTTTTAATAATAAGGCTCTTTTGGGGACCTTACTTTCCATTATAGTGAAATGACTATTTAATTATAGGTTATTTGAGTAAATGATGTTGATGTAAAATAAACTCCTGGCCTGACGATGTAGGATCAGCACTGGAGTGTGAACCCACAATCTGGTCTTTAGTAACGCTATACAGGGCTCCTAGTTGCAACCAACTCAATGGCACTTAATAACAGACTATGAGTGTCTTGAATTACATTGGACTCCTGGTTGTGTGGCACTGTAAGATCAGCACTGGACTGTGAATCACTAGGTTAGTAGTTCAAACTCTCAAGCTGCTCCTCGGAAATCCTGTATAGGGTTGCTATGATTCAAAACCAACTCAGTGGCTCTTAACAACAACAAAATAATATTGAAGTGCTAGTGATGCTGTAGGACAATCACTAGACTGCTAACCATAAGGTTTGCGATTCATATCCACCAGCCGCTCCATGGGAGAAAGATGATACTTCCTGCTTTTGTAAAGATTTATAGCCTCAGAAACATTATGCAGGTTCACTGTGAGTCAGAAGCAACTTGACAGCACTGAACAACATCGATAAACTAGTATTGGTCAAAAGGAGATACCTGAGGTAGCACTGTGTTCTCTTAAATAGTAGCTTTGGTATTCTGTGTTAGAGAAGCATGCCAGAGTCAGTCAGTACACCTGTGCTATGTTCCGCTCATGCACTTATCCTCTCTTGCTATAGATGTACTCCAGATGATGGGACGTGCTGGGCGGCCTCAGTTTGATGACCAAGGAAAAGCTGTAATTCTGGTCCATGACATAAAGAAAGACTTTTACAAGAAATTCCTTTATGAGCCTTTCCCAGTAGAATCAAGGTAAATTTTGCTTCAAAATTAATTAAATGCAATCATTATATGTAGGGATTTCAAAAATTTTTTTGGAAAATTCCATTATACCTCCATTCCATTTTTTCATGGACCTTTTTAAGTGGTAGAGCAATTTGATATTTTTCTTGTTGTGGTAATTAGATTAAAAAGTAAGTCAAAGTTCTAGTGAAACAAAGCGGATTGTAGTTGGCGCTATAAGATAGCTTTCAACTATAATATTCACTTAAAATTTTTAAGTCTTATTTAAAGAAGTAGTAGAATACATTGTTCGGTCACATTTGCTCTGGACCCAGGTTCAAACAGAAGTTCCACTACTAATTAGCTGCATGATCTTGAGCAAGGTATTTAACTGCACAATGATTTAGTTCACAAAGGTGAATAATAGCAATACTATTTTATCTCCTAAGATGCTTGAAATGATAAAATGTAAAGTGCTGGAACACATCTATCATATCATAAGCACTTAAGAAATTATTTTTGTTTGAGTTTTTAGTTAACTACATAATCAAAATAAAAGGATTTATAATGAATAATTTAAGCTGGTATTCTATTTCAAAATTATCCCATATGACTTTCTGGACCACATTACCACTACCCCTTCCATAAATCCTTCCTTCATTTTGTCAGGCGAAAATCATCTTTTTTCCCTCAAATTTATCCATTTTCTTAACGTAAGGAACTTACTATTTCTACCTTTTATTATATTATTTTTTGTATGTATCTTACCTCTTTTATTATAATCTTACTGTACTGAAAACAAAACATTTTTCTGACTTATGCTGTAAATATTTATTGTGTTTTTATTCTAAGTCTACTGTTCATACAAAGGCATTAAATGTGTGTGATGCAGCTAACAGTGTGCTAAGAGAAAATTAATGACCATAAATATATATATACTTAAAAAGATGCTAAACTGTTAATTTAAATGACCATCTCATGAATTTGCAAAGAGTGGCAAACTGAACTCAAAGAAAAGATAAGTGCAAGAATTTAGGAATTACAGATAAACACATATTAAAAATAAATTCACGAAACTAAAAATTGACTCTTGGAAGTTAAATAAAATTGATAAACCTTTGAGACTGATAAGGAAAGAAAAAAAATGAACTAAATAACAATTTCAGGAATGAAATGATCCCACAGACATTTCAAAATAATATACTATGAACAATTTTATGAATAACAGGTTAATTTGTATAAAATGGTAAAATCCTCAAAATATACACACACCTTACATAGACTGATAGAAAATATTAATATTCCTGTATCTATCAAAACCACCACTCGTCTGTCATTTCGTCGTACTGTGGTGGCTAGGGAGTCGCTGTGATTTTCAAAGCTATTCCACCTGTATTTTAAATACTAGCAGTGGAGTCCTGGTGTAGTGCTGTGGGTTAATGCTCTAGACTGCAAAGTCAGTTTCAACTGCAAGATTGGTGGTTCAAGCTCACCAGTCAATCCTTGGAAACCCTCTACAGGGTCGCTATGGGTCAGAACTGACTTGACAGCATTTAACAACAAAAACAGGGTCACCCATGGTTGACAGGTTTCAGATGAACTTCAAGACGAAGACAGACTAAGAAAAAGGAGTAATGAACTACTTCTGAATATTTAGTCACTGAAACCTTATCAAAAACACTGTCAGATAGAGAGCCAAATGAGACCCTTAGATTGGAAGGAACTCAAAATGTGATTGGGGAAGAGCTGCCTCCTCAAAGTAGAGTTAACCATGATGACATGAATGGAGTAAAGCCCTTAGGAGAAAAGCCCTTGGGACCTTCATTTGCTGATGGGGCACAACTCAAAATGAAGAGAAACAGCTGTAAACATCCATTGAAGATCAGAACATGGAATGTACGAAGTATGAATCTGGGCAATTGGAAGTTGTCTAAAATGAAATGGAACACATAAACATCGATATCTTAGGCATTAGTGATCTACAATGAACTGGTAATGGCCATTTTGAGTCTGAGGACCACATGGTTTAATATGCCAGAAATGAATGGTGTTGCATTCATTGTCAAAAAGAACATATCCAGATCAGTCATGATGTACAATGCTGTCTGTGATAAGATAATATCCATGCGCCTACATGGAAGCCCAGTTAATAGTACTATTATTCAAATTTATGCACCAACCACTAAAGCAAGTGAGGATGAAATACAAGAATATTATCAACTTCTTGAATCTGAAATTGAGCAAACATGCAATCAAGATGTATTGATCGTTACTGGTGATTGGAATACAAAGGTTGGGAGCAAAGAGGAAGGCTCAGTAGTTGGAAAATAATGGCCTTGGTGATAGAAATGATGCTGGAGATCACATGATAGAATTCTGCAAAATCAATGGTTTGTTCATTTCAAATACCTTCTTTAGACAGCATAAGAGACAACTATACACATGGACCTCACCAGATGGAATGCATAGAACTCAAATTGACTACATCTGCAGAAGGAGACAATGGAAAAGCTCCATATCCTCAGTCAGAACAAGCCAGGGGCAGATTGTGGAACAGACCATACATTATTCATATGCAAATTCAAACTGAAGCTGAAGAAAATGAAAACAAGTCCATGGGAGCCAAAATATGACCTTGAATATATCTCACCTGAATTTAGGGATCATCTGAAGAAAAGATTTGATACATTAAACACTAAAGACTGAATACCAGAAAAGTTGTGTGATGACATCAAGAACATCATACTTGAAGAAAGCAAAAGTCATTAAGAAAACAAGAAAGAAGGAAAACGTCAAAATGGATGTCAGAAGAGACACTGAAACTTGTTCTCCAGTGTAGAGATGCTAAAGCAAGTGGAAGAAAGGAGGAGGTCCAAGAGCTGAACAGAAAATTTCAAATATCAGCTCAAGAAGATAAAGCCAAAAATGACAACAAAATGTTCAAAGATCTGGAGTCAGAAAGCTAAAAAGGAAGAACACACTCAGCATTTCTCAAGCTGGGGGACCTGAAGAAAAAATTCAAGCCTCGACTTTTGTTATTGAAAGATTCACTGGGCAAATTATGGAATGATGCAGAAAACATAAAGAGAAGATGGAGGAATATACAGAGTCACTATACCAAAAGGAAATGGTTGATGTTCAGCCGTTTCAAGAGATAGCATGTGATCCATAGCCAATGATACTGAAGGAGGAAGTCCAAGGTGCATTGAAGGAATTAGCAAAAAACAAGGCACCAAGAATTGATGAAGTAAAAATTGAAATCTTTCAAGAAAGTGAGGGGGCACAGTAGGTACTCACTCATCTCTGCCAAGAAATTTAGGAGACAACTATCTGGCTGACTGATTGGAACAGATCCGTATTTGTACCCAATCCAAAAGAGGTAACCCAACGGAATGCTGAAATCATTGGACAATATCTTTGATATCCCATGCAAGTAAAGTTTCACTAAAGGTAATACATAATTGGCTGCAAGCATATATTGACAGAGAACTTACAGAGATTCAGGCCGGATTCAGAAGAGGCTGTGGAACGAGGGATATCATTACTAATGTCCAATGGATCTTGACTGAAAGCAGAGCATATCAGAAGGATGTTTTACCTGTGCTTTATTGACTACACAAAGGCTTTCGATTGTGTGGATCATGACAAGCTGTGGACTACTTTGTGAAATATGAGTATTCCGGAACACTCAGTTGTGCTCATGAGGAGTCTGTACCTGGACCAAGAGGCATTTGTTTGAAAAGAACATGGGAACATTGAATGTTTTAAAATAAGAAAGGTATGCAGCAAGGTTGTATTCTTTCACCATATTTATTCAACCTGTATGCTAAGCATATAATCCAAGAAGCTGGGTTATATATATGAAGAAAAATGTGGCATCAGGATTGGAGGAAGACTCATTAACAACCTGCGATATGCAGATGATACAACCTTGCTTGCTGAAAGTGAAGAGGACTTAAAACATTTACTGATGAAGATCAAAGAGCACAGCCTTAGGTATGGATTACATCTCAATGTCAAGAAAACAAAAATCCTCACCACTGGACCAGTAAACAACATTTTTATCAATGGAGAAGAGATTGAAGTTGTCAAGGACCTCATTCTTCTTGGATCAACTATCGTGAATCACAAAAGCAGCAGTCAAGAAATCAAACTACGTATTGCATTAGGCACATCTGCACAAGACCTTTTTTAAAGTGTTGAAGAGCAAAGTTGTCAGCTTGAGGACTAAGGTGTGCCTGACCCAAGCCATGGTGTTTTCAATAACCTCATATGCGTGATAAAGCTGGATAGTGAATAAGGAAGACTGTAGAAGAGCTGATGCTTTTGAGTTATGGTGTTGGGGGAGAATATTGAAAGCACCATGGGCTGCCCAAATAACCAATAGATCCAAGTGCAGCCAGAGTGCTCCCTGGAGGCCAAGATGGCCAAACTTCGTATCTCATACTTTGGACATATTGTCAGCAGGGACCAGTCACTGGAGAAGGATATCATGTTTAGTAAGTTGGAGGGGCAGAGAAAAAGAGGAAGACCCCCAACGAGATGGATTGGCCAAGTGGCAGCTTCGATGGACTGAAGCGTGGCAACAGTAGTGAGGTTTGTCTAGGATTGGGCAGTATTTCGGTCTGCTGTGCATAAGGTCGCTATGAGTTGGTACTGACTTGATGGTACCTAACAACATCTATCAAAACAGTGGAATCTGAAATTAGAATCTTCTCCTGACATAGATGCTTCAACAGTGAACCATTCCTACCATTTAAGGACGAAACATCATCAATTTTATATAAACTTTTTAATAGGGGATGAAACAGGACTATTGCCTGTCTTGTGTTATGAGAGCACGATAACCATCTTACCCAAATTTATAAGAAGCATATAAGGAAGGAAGCACATAACAAGCCATTGTTAATCATGAGTACAAATGTAGATACTTCAACCAAAACATTAGCAGATAAAATCCAGCAATGTATAAAAAAGGTAAAATATTACTATCGTGAAATTTATTCCATAAATCGAGAGATCATTTTTTAAAAAATAAATCATAATAATTCATCACATTAGCTAGAAGAATCAAAATCTTATAATCATGTCATAGATGTGGAAAAAGAATTTGGTAAAATTTTATATCCATTCATAATGAAAATTCATAGTGATCCAGGAATAGACAGAAATATCCTTATGCTGACACAGAGTATCTTCAAGTATTCATTTGCAAATATCATAGCTAATGGTTAACCATGGACAGCTTTCCCTTTGCTGTAGGCATTCAGAGAAGGTTAGTGCTGTCACCATTCCTGTAAGCAAGGCCTAAGGGCATTACAACAAGGCAAGAAAGGAAATCAAAGTCAGGATAGCCTTTTGAAAAAGGAGAAAAACGGAGGAAGGCTTCTTGGGTACTGGTAATTCTTTTGAAACTTGTAATGTCACCACTAGATAGAACTATTACTAATATTTTATCTGTTATATAGGATTCCATAGTTTATATAATCATTTGTCTATTAATGAACATTAATAGTTTTTAATTGTTTTCTGTCACATATACTGTTGAAGTGAGGTCTTGCAATTTTGCATCTTTTCACATGTCAATATTTATCTAGCAAATAATAGTTAAGAAGTGAAAGTAGTCATATTAATTGTTGTAGACACTGGAAGTTGCTTTCTAAATTAACAGTAGCAATTCAGACTCTGCATTTGCAACTTGTTTTTTCATTCAACTTGATTCCATTTTTTTGTGTTTGTTTGCAAAAATTATTTTTCATAGCCACATTTTTTTTAAAACATTTGACATGATGCCAGTGGGTACCTTTAAAAAAAATTTTTTTAATGTAAGAAACTAGAAGAACATTTGTTGTGCATATAGTTTAGTATATCTGCTCATCTCTGTAACTTCATAGCACCAGTTGTAATTGTTTATATACATTGTTATTGTTAAGTGCTGTCGAGTTGGTTCCAACTCATGGAGACCCTGTATAGGGTTTCTGAGGCTGTAAGTCTTTACAGGAGCAGAAAGCCTCATCTTTCTCATGTAGAGCGACTGGGCACCCTGTATAGGATTACCAAGACTATATATCTTTGTGGGAGCAAAAGTTCTGCCTCTCACTATATGATTTTTCTCTCACTATATGTAAGAGTATATATAACAGTTCATATATACTTAATATATACTGAATGAATGAGAACAATACCTTTATATTAGGATTTTTATAAGGCCTCTATGGAGTCCTGATGTGGCACTTATAGGAGCAACACTGGACTAAGAACCACAAGGTTGGTAGTTCAAATCCACCTGCTGCTGCTTGGAAGGGCCGCTGTGAGTCAGAATAGACTGTATGACACTTAACAACAATAATAACTAATTTCTTTAAAATATATTGGTGGTGGTGGTTATGTGCTGTGGAGTCGGTTCCGACTCATAGCGACCCTGTATACGGTTTCCAAGGCTATAAACCTTTGCGGAAGCAGAAAGCCTCATCTTTCTGCTGTGAAACGACTGGTGGCTTCAAATTGCTGACAGTGAGATTAGCAGCCTGAGTTGGAACCACTAAGCTCCCAGAGCTACTTTTATCATACCTTATAATACTTTTATTCCATATGCACTCAAAAAGAACATTGGCACCAAGACATTTCCATGTTGCTGTTGTTGCTATAATTTTTATGGGAACAGTTCATCAGACCTTTCTTCCAAGTTGCTGCTGAGTGTGTTTATATCACCAACCTCTAGGGTAGCAACCAATTGCAAGTGTTTGTGCCATCCATGCTTCTTTTGTGCTTGGTCTAGTATCCCATAATTTGCCCTTCCATACTCTCCAGGATAGCTCTTCTGTTACCTTATCTTACCTTACTCTTCTTGCCTTTTAGCCTCTCGTCCTAAAAATTCCTAGCCTCCTCCCTGTAATTATGTGCTATTTTTCATCCATTAATTCATTCTCCAAAACGATTGATAGCAGTAAGTTACCTAAAAAGCCCTGGTGGTGCACAAGTTAAGCATTTGACTGCTAATCAAAAGCTTGGTGGTTGTAACTCACCTAGTGGCTTCATAAGAGAAAAGAGCTGTAGACCTGCTTTTGTAAAAATCACAGCCAAGAAAACCCCTATGGGTCTCTGTTAGTTGAAATCGATTTACCAACACCTAACACTACCATCAATAACGTATCGTGTCGTTGTTATGTGCTATTGAGTCGGTTCCAACTCATAGTGACCCTGTAGAGGGTTTCCAGGGAGCAGGTGGTAGGTTTGAACCAGCAACTTTGTTGTTAGAAGTCCAATGCTTATCCTTCAGTAACATTCCAGGACTCCATATGGTAGTGTTAACTTATTCTGAAAAAATGTTAATTTCATATATTGTCTTTGTGTTAATTCTTTTTTTACCACACTTATTATACATGTTCAAATAAAGACTGTCACTTACATATTATTTAAAATGTGGGAATACACACATACACACACATATATATATATACATACACATATGCATATATATATATACACACTGGTTAATGAGATAACTTCTTGAGTTCATGATACTGAATTATTTAGTCTCATGATGAAAGAATATTGGAAGAAATTTCCCAGTAAAATAATTTCTGATGAGTGTACACATTTTACATCTTAGAACATAAAGTCTGGGTGTAGGCTAAATGGTGATACATTTATGTGTGCTTTGTTTAATGTTCATTTATGTTTCCCATGTCTCATTCACCATATAGTTTATTAGAAGTACTCGCTGACCATTTAAATGCAGAGATTGCTGGTGGCACAATAACATCTAAACAGGATGCTATGGATTATATCACCTGGACATACTTTTTCCGACGTCTTGTCATGAACCCCAGGTAAGGAGAATGCTTCTTTGAAGAGTAACTATTTACCTTTCTCTTTTGCAATGAAGAAAAATACGTATCAAAATAATAGATTCTAAATTCTGATACATACAAAAAGTTAGAACTTTGGGTATTTTAGATATATAATTTGCCCAGAAAGTCAAATAATGTCTTCAATATGATCACAATATTTTGAATGCTTTCATGTGTTTATTACTTAGCTTGTTGCAGTTATTTTAGAATATTTTCAAGAAGCTGACTCTGCTGTTGGGGAGGGAGGTGCAGCATCTGAAGTTAGTAAGAAATACAAAAAACTGTGATAGTGACTGATGGGAATTCTGAAGGAATTCAGAAAGGAGTGAGGTTTGTGAAGTTGTGGCGGGAAGAATTTTTGAGGCTTTCACAAGAGTTCCTAAGGACAGTGCAAAAGGAAATAACATTGATGAGTGGTGGAGTGCCTTTCATTCCAGTCTGGATGTCTTAGATCTTCAGTCAGACCTACTCCTCAGGTATTATGCCACACAGAGGCATAAAGATGAGTACGTCAATCCCTGTCTTCAAGTGCTGATCTTTTAAAAGTGGAAAAAGAGATACACAAATCATTACAATGTAAATCTTAAGTACTCTAATAGAACTGCATAAAAGCCTGTGAGAGTGAAGGCTTCACAGAAGAGGTTATACTTGAATCAGATCTTGAATGAGGAACAGGAGTAGAAAAGGTAGAAGACATTTCAAACAAAAATATTATATGTGCAAACACCTTCCGGCCTTAAAAGAGTTGTAAGTGTTTAGACTCTGCCATGAACTTTGATGCATCCAGACCTTAAGGACAAGAAGATTAGAACCTGAAAGTAGGCCAAGTACCAGAGTAAAAAGGCCTGCATGCTGTGCTAAGGCGTTGGCACCCTATTGACTATGATAAGCCAGTGAAAGTTTATAAACACAAATTTATGTCACCACATTAGGTTTTGTTTTGTTTTGTTTACTTTAAATACTTACACTAGTATGGTAAGGAATGAGTAGAATGAGGAAATATTTACAGCAAGACCAATTAGGAAGGTTTGTTTTTTTTTTTTTTAATAAAAAAGGGGGAAATGATGAAGACCTAAACAGGTGCAGAGGGAATAAAATGAGGGGCTAGATTTGAAGGACATTCCTGATAAAAGTAGAAGGAAATAATAAACTATTGCTATTGTTGTTGTTGTTGTGTGCTATTGAGCACTGACTCATAGTGACTTCTATATAAGGTTTCTGAAGCTATCAGTCTTTATGGGTGCAGAAAGCCTCATCTTTCTCCCATGAAGCTTCTTGTAGATTTGGACCAACAACTCTGTAGTTAATAACTCAATATGTAACCCCGCTATACCACCAGGGATCCTATTATAAGATATTAGAGAAGGGATCATGGTGAAGATGTTATTACTGTTCACTCTTAACCTGTTGACACTTTACTACAGACCTTTTTTCCGTCTTAGATGGCAGTTTGAGAAACATGATGTTTTTCTCAGAATTGTCTGATTGTTGATTAGGAACAAAATACCCTTTAGGAGCATAGCCACATTATCAGAAAAGTAGCCACTCAGTTTCACACATATGCACAGCTTGGAGAAGTAGTCTTCTGAAATGTTTTACTGAGAGAGACTTTATATAGACTCGAGCCCAGCTTCGGAGTCCTGGTGTTGTACTGTAGGGTAAGCAATGGACCACAGTGTCAGTGGTTCAAAATAACCATCTATTCCTCAGAAACCCTATACAGGGTAGGAGTTGGAATCTACTCAAGGGCACTTAAAAACTGTCCAAACTTAATACTTGATATTGAAGAAATGGACAGTAAGAAACCTAAATATCTTTCCTAGTTTGTTTTAAAGCCAGAATTAAAAAACCCAGGCCTTCTGACTCATAATCTAAAGCTCTTTTGTTTTGTTTTGTTTTGTTTTAGCTAGGTATATAACTGTAGATTACAATAGATATGTTCCTCAATTTCATATCTTCAGGATAGAGGCAATTCATGTGGCAGAAAGATCTTGGAACTTGGATTTGGAGTGCTGGTCTTCTTGTTTCTGCACTGTTTTTATTAACTGTTTAGCCTTGAGTCAGTTCACCTTTCTAAACTTCACTGTTTTCATCTGGACAGTGAGTAATAGCCTTCCTCTCTCACAGCAACCCACAGCATCATGTTAGGAATGCAATAAACAAGCTAAAGTCTTTCTAAGTACAGTATTAAATATGAAGAACGTAATAAATGCTGATTGGTTTTGTTGGTAAGTGCCATCAAGTTGATTCCAACTCACAGACAATCTTGTATAGGGTTTTTACAGGAGCAGAAAGCTTCATCTTTCTTCCCCAGAGCAGCTGTTGGACTCAAACCACTCACCTTTGGTTCCCAGTTCAGTGTTTATCCTGTAGAGCCACCATGCTCCAACTATCATTTGGTGAACTGTTATTCCTCTTCTCCCTTCCATGTACTCACCTATCCATCACTTATTGACTGTCTGGTTATCTGGCATTTCACATTTATGACAATAGTAAAAGGTGGGCTATCTGACTATTTTGCACATTGACAGCGTATAGCTGGCAATAAGGGATGCCAACGTGCAAGATAAGTGTAACCCTGGCTGTGGTGGTTTAAGTTTTCTATGTCAGCTTATCTGGGCATGATTCTCAAAGGCTGAGTCTTGATTCTCAGTGGTTTAGAAGTTATGTCATGATGAAATTTGGTACTTTTATAATAATGAAATTTGCCTGTTATGTGACTTGGTAGTAACAGTTTTGTGATCTGATGTGGTCATCCTCCATTTTTGTATAATGCTGATATATAACAACCTTATCTTTGGAACCTAACCATCCATATCCATAAGTGGAGAATGGATGTGCCAGTATATGCCTTCCTAAAACATATACTTTAGATATAAGAACCAAATCATTTCCATCAGCTTGTCTGGTTAACATATGAAAAAAGAATAACTTCCAAAGGCAAATTGAGTGTTTTTCACACATTATATAGTGCCTTACCAAATCCACAGGTACACTACATTTTGTATTTGTCTTCTTTTTAAAATTTATTTTTATTTATTTAATTTTGCCTTTTTGAAATAATTTTAAGACTTACAAAAGAAATGACAGAGATTTTATGAACAATAGCTATATAGGGGCACATGATGTATGAAGACAGACTAGGTAGTGAGAACTGTTCCCCACTTACAAAAAACACTAAGTGGGAGTCAGCTTTGATACAGAGATTTCACATATTAGTGATGTTAATTGGCATCAAATTTTAAACCAGATTGTTATAAATAGAAGATATTAAATATAATGATCCTGTCAACTACAAAGTAAATGTATTTAAAAATAAACAACAAAAAGAAAACAGAAGAGAAGCAAAGTTATTCACTGATTGCAAAAGTTGGCAGTACTGGGAGAAATGAAGGACAAAGAAGGTTTAAGACACACAGAAAAAAACACAATGACAGAAGATCAAAATGCCACTACTGTCAAGTCGATTCTAGCTAGATAGCAAAAGTAAGTCCATCTTATTGTTAAGTATGTTGAATTTAAATGGACTGAATGTTTCAACCAAAAGACAGGGTGGAAGAATGAATAAAATAACAAGATCCCACTATATATATGCTTTGTGCAAGAGACACATCTTAGTCCCAACGACACAAATAAGTTGAAAGAGAAAGAGTAGGAAAAAGTGTCATGCAGATAGTAACCAAAAGAGTGGTAGGGTAGCAATTTCAATATCAGGGTGGGTGAAGGTGGGGGGGGGCAAGGTATGTTATAAGAGACAAAGAAGGACATTTTATAATGAGGAAAGAGTCAACTCATCAAGAGTCTACAGCAATTATAAGTACAGATCCACCTAACATCAAAGCCCCAAAATATATGCAGAATTAAAGGGAGAAATAATTGGAAACTTTAATACACCATTTTCAATAACAGACAAAAAACATCTAGAAACAAGATGGACAAGGAAACAGTGGACCAGAATGACACTATAAACCAACCAGACATACAAGAGACTTCCAAAAGTTCATGGAAATGCCCTCTCCAGCCCTGATATCCAACTACTCTAACAGCCTTAAATTCCATTCTCATACCAATTAATACAGCTTCAGTTGATCTTCAGGAGTTGGTCGTTTATCCATTCTCAACCATACATGCTGAATGTGCTGGTTCCTTTAGTAGCCCCCTGTACATATTTTGTTGTTGTTTTTAAGTGTCATCAAGATGGTTCCGACTCAAAGAGACCCTTTACAGGGTTTCTAAGGAACAGCTGGTGAGTTTGAACCACCGATCTTACAGTTCAAATCAACCAGAACATTAAGCCTCAGTGTTGCACATATATTAAAAGGAGAAAAATGAGGCTCTCTGCCTCTGCAAAGATTTACATCTGAGGAAACCCTATACAGGGCCACTATGAGTCAGAAGCGACTTGAGGCACTCAACAACAACAGTGTACATATTTTAAGATACCTGACTAGGTTAACACTTGGGACTTCCATTAGGATTCTGAAGTAATACCCTGTACCCAATCCCTTGCCATGTAGGTTAATTAGTTAGAACAGAATAGATATGGTAATAAAAATTTCCAAGAGCAAGCTGTGATTATCGGTTGTATTAGAAACCTCAGTAATGACCTCCAGCCTCAAGAAACATGTTGTTGTTAAGTGCTGTCGAGTAGGTTCTGACTCATAACAACCTGTATGGGGTTTCTCAGGAGCATCTGGTGGATTTGAACCGCTCACTTTGTGGTTCAAACTGACTTTGCAGTCTGGCTCATTATCCTGCAGCACCACACCAGTACTCATATAACCACACCAGAAACATAGAGCAACACATGAAATATATAACCTCCTAAAATGGTAAGGTGTAAGTATTTAAAATTTTATTTGTTTTTATTAATTCAAATAAACATTTATTGAGCGTTTAATCTTATGTCTTAGTGTGGCGCTGTGGGTTAATGCGCCAGTTTTCAAGTGGTTTAAACTGCAAGGTCAGTGGTTCAAGCT